TTAGGCTGCAGTCTGCCTGCGATTCTCTCCTGCTCTCAATTGCATGCTCTCCTGTGGACTGTGGATGCTCTTGGGAGCAGATGGCCTACAGAGAGGAAGCACTTAGCAAGCTGTAAATGGCAGGCTTACTTCCTCTTGCAGCCCTGTATGGGAGAGCCAGCTCCCCATAAGAGGTGAAGTTCCATGGGGCCCCTGAAGAGGAAGGTGCTTGGCAAGGAATGGAGGTGGGAGCTGCCAAGGGAGGACCACACACACAGCTGTGGGGGCTAGTCTGAGGGACAATGACTAGAGGAAGAACATCAGGGAAGGGTCCTCATTCCCTCAGGGGCAGCTGATAGAGGCCAACAGATGTGGCGGATCCAGAAGCTGGGGCTGTGGGAACACAGGTGACTTCAGTAGACCCCTGCTTCTGGTGCTGCATGTGGTGAGTTTGAGTTGAACAGACAGCTTGCTTGCTTGCTTGTGAACTTTCAAGTTAAGTGGTCTTTGTAAATTCTAGTCTAGACCATTGTGCATGAAACTTGAGGTTGGTTTAAAGTGACCTCATGTGGGCTGTCCAGGCTTGTTTGACCTCCCTCTGTAGGGACAGGCCTGAGACTAACACAAGTGCTGCTGGGAGACTGGGGATTTAGTGTCCGCTGCAGTTCCTTGGCAGGGAGCATGACTTGGTGGCACTATTGTCACCCCCTCACACACACACACACACAAAGCTTTGGGGAGACAGAGCAGGACTTGCCCTGACCCTGGAGTCCTGTCTGTAAAGTGGTGTGAGTGTGAGGGAAAGGGTTCAGTCCCTAGGGTCCCATAAGGATGACTTTTGCTTCTTCCCACCCCTGCCCACATGCTGAGCCCCCAGGGTATCCAAACACTGATTGTAAGGGGCTGGAGGTGGAATTTCTGCCAGAGGACCTTTTGAGAGCTGGGTGAAGCGTGCTTGATCATACAGATGCCAGAGCCGTATCTCTCTGTTCCTGTTTTATATCATCCAGAAATATACCCCCAGGCATGAAATCTAAGGGGGCTGCTCTCAGTGTTGCGGTCTGCAGCAGTCCTAGTCTGTAACTCAGGAGGCAAGATTTGGGGTCTGTGGTGAGGGCTGGCCTCAGGCTCATTCAGGTGGTGTTGATTTTGGTGACTTCTACCTGTCATACTGGGGGCAGGGTTTCTGAGTGGGGTAAGGATCCACAGCTTGGCGGAGGCTGGTGGGTACCGATCCTCACAAGTGTCAACAGGAGCCAGAGACACCTGGGGTGGATAGAGCTGGAGCAGCTGCCACCCCATCCTCTGAGTCTGAAGGCCAAGTTGGGGGCCAAGCAGCACTGGGCTCCAGTCCTTCTGGACACATGGACACCCATCTGCCCAGGGGCCCTGGCTTTGCTCTGGGACCTGACGCATGATTTCTGATGTTAGGAAAGCTTTTGCCAGTTGGTTTCCAGAGGTTTCTTTGAGAAAAGAACTCCACAGGGGGAGGGTCTGGCAGAATCAGTAGACCCATCGGAACCACCCCCAATTCCCATCCCACAAGATGCGTACTTTCATACAGACTCAGGCTGGAGAGATGGGAGCAAGTAGACACCAAAGTCAGTGGGGGTCAATCAGAGTAGGTGGGCTGCTGACTCCCTACCCTCATTCCCCAGTCCTAGCCATTTCCCCATTTGGAGGGTCAGTTGACTCTCCCCATTCCTCATGGACTTAGATCCCACCTTCTGCCCCCTTCTTTCAGCTGAAGTTCCTGACCTGCCCTGAGGGGTCTGCGGGTGTCTCTGAGGGAGACTCCTCCACTGTGCCTGCATTGCCTAGGCACTACAGGCTGATGGAGGCACTGAGGGGGTGTGGGGCTTCAAGCTAGACCCTCTCGGGGTAGCCTTTCATTGCACTCAACGGGGTCTGCTTCAGTCCTGGGGGCAACTGGCCATTGCAGGGGCTGCCTGGCTCTGTGGTTCTGTGCTCAATGTCTCACTGTCAGGCAGGCAGAAGGCAGGCTAGGGCAGGTCTCTCATCTGGCCTGTATTCTGGGAGCAGAATGCCAGGGCTCAACCCAGCTAGGTCCCTAGGCCTTGGGGCGGGGACTGACACCCCAGTTAACTCTTGAGAGCTGAAGGCCTAAACCTCACTGCTAGTCACCTGACTGTTCATCCCCCAAGGCTCCCAGGTGTTCTGCCTTCTTCAGCGACAGGACGTCTGCCCAAAGACGAGGACACTCTGTACCACTGGCTGGCTGTGCCTGGGCACTGCTCTCCCTGGAGGACCTGCCTCTAAATAGACTCTCATGACATCACAGGGCAGGGGCTGACCTTGCTACTCAGACCTGTCTGCTCACTGCCCATCAAGGCAACTCACCCCAGATCACTCCCAACTGGTGCCCCTGAGATGTGCTCAGACTTGGCCCCACAAGAAGGCCCCACAAGGAGCACTGTAGGGAACCTGTTGCCCTTTAACACCTGGGCCTGTGGGTGCAGGGCAGCTTCTCAGTTGTTATGGTCACTGGTCACCTTTACACCTGGAGGGGACACTGAGATCCCAGTTCTGTAATACATGAAGTTGGCAGACCAACTCCTGAAACATTCCCTTCTGGTCCCCTCCCATGGCAGGATGCTGTTGGGGGTATGGGATCATTCTGGTGGGTCAGATACAAGCAAGAACTTGGCCTCACAGCTGTGTTGAAGATGGAGGAAGAGCTGGACTGAGGAATGGGCTACTTCCAGGAAATGGGGACCTCAGTACCATAGCCATAGCCTCTGATTTCTACCACCACCTGGCCTAGCAGGGACTCTGGCCCTCCTCCAAATCCTGCAAGCCCCACTATACCTGCGACACCTGCCCAACTGAGAGAGAATAAAGGCACGTTGTTTTAAGTTGCTAACGTGTGGTTTATTGTGACAGGAACAGGAAACCCATAGCACACAAGTCCTGCAAGGACATGGGGACAGTTCTCCCTCACCCTTCGGGCAGTATGCCCAAGCAGCCTGTCCCAACTGTCAGGATGCATTTCTCTCTGCTTATGCTCAGTCAACCCCGGTCATGTCTAAGGAGGACCATCATTGCTGGTTCTTCTGGAGTGGCTGGAGAATGCATCCTAACTCCTAAAACACTCCTGTCTGGCCCCCTCCCGTGGCAGGATACTGTAGGGGGAGATCGGGTCATCCTGGTGAGTCAGAAACAAGCAAGGTGTCCCTAGGGCAAAGGGCTGCCCCAGGTCAAGTGCATGCATGCTGGTATATGCAAGGGATGTTTTGGAAATATACAGAGATGCTCCAGAGGCTATGTACTCCAGAGAGTATTCTTCACTTGAGTGAGTGCCCTTGATGCCACTTTAATTTGTATTGTGTGTCTTACTGAAAACAAATTGGAGTGCTTGTGTGTGAGGTGGGGTGGGGGCACAGCAGAGACCTTCTGCATTCATGGGCTCCTACCCTCTCCCAACAAGCCCTTCTGATCCTGCCATGAGACCTGGAAAGCCTGTAACTGCTGGGGATCAATGTTGGGCTTTGGGAGTGGGAGCTTCTTATATATTGTGAATCTACATCTGTCACCAGGTACTTATTTTATCTGCAGTTGTCCCTCTGACTGTGGCTTGCCTGCTCACTACAGTGGCTTTTATTAAGCGGAGCTTCTGAAATGATTAGTGCTTTGGGGCTCCTGGGAAGTATGTGTACCTCAAGGCTGCAGAGATGTTCTCCTGCATTTTTTTGCAAGATGCTTTAGTTTTAGCTTTTACATTCCAATCTGTACTCCTTTCTAATTAATGTTTAGTGTTTGATGTAAGAGGAATCACACAGTATGTAGTTTTTTACTTTTCACTCAGTGTTGTTTGTGATTCATCCATGTTGTCCCTTCCCATTGCTGAGCGGGTTCCTCTGGAACCAATCACAGTGAGTCCTTGTACTCTCGGTGACCCTGACCCCACATGGTCATTGTGGGCGCACTGCCATGGTTTTTCTCATTCCCGTCTTCCAGTCCACAAAGTCAGCTGTTCTTCTCAGGGATAGAGGGGCTCTGCTTCGGAGGGGCTGGCCCTGCTTTACCCATGTCTCCATCTGTACAATGGGTAATGGTGGTGGTGGGTTGCACATCTCATGCGTAACAGCGGAAGGAGGAGTTAGCGTGTCACATGCTTAGAGCGGTGCCTGCTCATAGCACGCATGCAACAGGTGGACCACTTGGGTCCTGGGGTCTTTGTGTGCTCAACTTCACCTCAGCTGGTTCCTGAGGCTAGCCTTACCACCACCACCACGTTTCCCACCGGCATTTCTGCCACGCTCCGGTGTAGCATTGGTAGCCTTCATTGCATTTTCCTGATTACTCGCTACAGAGCCTCCTCCACTTATTAGTGTTGAAATGTTTTGTGATAAATTGATGAAAGTGAAACAACTTGTACAGAAATGAGAAGGTTCACATGGTGTGAAGAATGTAACCAGAGCCACCAGTCATGACCTCTGTATATATATTAATTAAAATGCAAAAAAAAATATTTCTGAGGTAAAATGTTACTATTTTAGCTGTACGCTTCTGGAGTTTTTAGTCCATTCACAGAGCTGTGCATCCGTCATCACAATCTAATTCTAGAACATTGTCACCCCAAGGAGAAACCATGTTCCTTCACCTTCCCCCTCACAGCCCCTGCAGCCCTGTCTTAGTGGTTCCTAGAACCTGCCCACTTTCTCAGACGGTTGCATGCTCTGCGGCTGGTCTTCTCACATTCTTTCAGTCTCTGGGAGGCCTGTGTCATCAGAGTGATCAATTTCTTGCGTGGTGACTATTTCCTGGCTTTGGGCTTTTTCCTGATACATCTTTTTGTCCCTCTGGTCCAAATCATATGGCAGATGTGGCGAGTGCAGGCTGTGTCTGTGATAACTGAACACAGACAGGGGGTTGTCCTGGTCACAGTAAGCCAGTAGTACTGGTTAAAAGCTGGGGGAGGGCTGTCCTGGGCAGGGGGCACATGCTGGCTCATGGTGTATGTGGGGCAACAGGTGCTGACCACAGCTCTTGTCTTGCAGATCCGGAACATGGTGGCGGTGCTGGAAGTCATCTCCAGTCTGGAGAGATACCCCATCACCAAAGAGGCGCTGGAGGTAGGTGCTGCTGCACTGTGGTGGAGAGTTCATGGCAGGGCTTGGGCCTCCCTATGGGGACTGAGTGAGGTGATGTCCCCTCAGAGACCTAACAGTACATGACTGCTCTGAGACCCGGGGCCTGCAGGGGATTCTTCCTGGTCTGTGGGAACTACATGCAGGGGTGGGTCTCTGTTCAGAGGGGGCCTCTGGGAGTGGGTTGGAGGTGGAGCTGTCACAGAGCGCTCTATCTGGGGAGGCCTCGAGCAGGCTGGCGCTCCTCAACACCCACTCTGTTGCAGGAGACGCGGCTGGGGAAGCTCATCAACGACGTCCGAAAGAAGACCAAGAACGAGGAGCTCGCCAAGCGGGCCAAGAAACTGCTGCGGAGCTGGCAGAAGCTCATTGAGCCCGTGCACCCAGGCGAGGCGGCACTGCGAGGGCTGCCTGGCACTGCAGGCTCTGCCAATGGCGGCGCCCACAACTGCCGAGCAGAGGCAGGGGCAGCGGCTGGACCCCGGAGCATACATGACCTGAAGAGCCGAAATGACATCCAGAGGCTACCCGGGCAGCGGCTGGACAGGCGGGGCAGCCGAAAGCGCCAGGGGGACCAGCGAGACCTTGGCCATCCTGGGCCACCACCTAAGACCGCTAAGACCAGCCATGAGCCCCTGGCCCCCAACTCATCACCCCTGCCCACGAATGGGATCAGTGGGAGCCCTGAGAGTTTCACTGGTCCCCTGGACGGCAGCGGGCACACAGGCCCCGAGGGCAGCCGTTTGGAGCCCAGCGAGAACGACAAGCACAGCGGCTGGATCCCAGTCAACGCCGTGAGGCCACATACCAGCTCACCGGGCCTGAGTCTGGGGGCCAAAGCTGCCTCAATGCAGCCACTGGACAGAATGGAGGAGACCCCAGCAACACCCCACCCCAGGGGGGCCTCTCGCTGCTCCTTCAGCCCTCGGAACTCGCGGCAAGAGGGACCCTTTGTTCGGCAGCGGAGCCCATATGTGCCCAAAGGCTCAGCACCCAGCCCCTCACCACGGCCCCCATCACTGGAGGCCACACAGGCGCCTTCGCCACTCCCTCTGGCCCAGCCTCCCACACCCCCAGTCCGGCGACTGGAGCTACTGTCCAGTGCAGAGAGTCCAGGCCGCTGGCCTGACCAGCCTGAGGGCCACCAGAGGCTGGCAGGGCTGGGCTGTAAGGCGGGGCTGCCAACTGCTGAGCCACCCCTGTTGCCAAGGGCAGGCCTATCCCCAGACTCCTCCCGGGCGGACAGCGATGCTGCCTCCTCAGGTGGCTCAGAGAGCCGGAAGAAGAAGCGGTACCGACCGCGAGACTACACAGTGAACTTGGACGGGCAGGGGCCTGAAGCGGGCGTCAAACCCGTGAGGTTAAAAGAGCGGAAGCTCACCTTTGACCCCATGACAAGACAGATCAAACCCCTGACCCAAAAGGAGCCCGTGCAGGCAGAGAGCCCCGCACGCACTGAGCCACCGCGAATGGAGCCGGATGCGCCCGAGCCTAAGGGTGGCCTGCAGAGCCCCTTTGAACAGACGAACTGGAAGGAGTTGTCACGCAATGAGATGATCCAGTCTTACCTGAGCCGGCAGAGCAGCCTGCTGTCATCGTCGGGTGCGCAGACGCCGGGTGCACACCACTTCATGTCCGAGTACCTTCGGCAGGAGGAGAGCGCCAAGCGGCACAGTGCCCGTGAGACACATGTGCTAGCACCACACAGCCCGCCTGCGGACCTGCCAGGGTGCACGCGTGAGGTCACACAGGACGACTTGGAGCGCATCCAGGCCCACCAGTGGCCGGGTGTGAACGGGTGTTATGATACACAGGGTACCTGGTATGATTGGACGCAGTGCATAGCGCTAGACCCGCATGGTGACGATGGGCGCCTGAACATTCTGCCTTACGTCTGCTTGGACTGACCGTCTAGTGGGTGGTGGGGTGGGTGCGAAGGCCCAGGGAAGGCACCTGAGGCGGGGCAGGTGCCCTTGCGCTCTGCCCTCGTGATTCTCCTTCTTTTGTGAAATGCTGCTACCAGTTTACTAACAAACTTGCATAGGAAGGACTGCAGGAAGGACGGCAAAGCGAGTTCCAAGCGCTCCAGCAGCCAGCTGAATGGAGTGCGGGGCCCACCTGTAGATGTGCAGACAACCCGGGCCACGCAGGCTGGGCGCAGCTGCAGGCAGGCACAGAACACTTGTGGAAGATGTTACCTTATCAGAACCAAGAGCACGCGTCTTATTTATTTACATTTGTTTGTGTTGACATTTGGCTCTGAGGTGTCTGGGAGGGTGGTGGGCATGAGCGTGGCCTGTGACCACTGCACACGCAGTCTGGCCCAGCTACTGCTGAGCCTTGTTTCCAGCTCCTTGGGGCCAGGTGGCTCAGGGCAGCCAGTCCACGGGCCACAAGTTTGACCCCACGTTCCTTAGTCACACATTTTTATCTGGTTTCAGTTACAATCTTGTTCCTAAAGAAATGCTGCAAAAATTTAATTTTCCAAGAGTTCATTTTCTCCCAGTTACATCTGACCACCAGCCATACAACTTTCCTTCCTCTCATCCTTTCCTCCTCCTTGGACCCATCTAGAAACTCTCATCTTTCTAGAGTGCCCCACCCAATAAGCCCCACAGGAGTTTCCACGGGTGCTACTGGGGTGTGTGCTGTGCTGGGCAGAGGTGGCCTGTCTGGGCTGGAAACACTCGTGACCATTCCTTTAGTCGTTTGCCTTATGGTTATCTGTCAGAAACTCGAATTGCAAAAACAAGGAGCCTTAGTGAATGTCCAGTACCTAGACTTCTGGGTCCCCAGGACGCAGAAGGGGCAACTTTGCTATTTGGTCCAGTAAGTGGACACCTTGTGATATAAATGTGGAAATAAAAAAAAAAAAACATTTGCACAAACCAGCCTGGGAGTGGTTTCTGACCCCTCATATAAGTCCTTTCTTGGGATCTGGGTGAGCTGGAAGACTTGGCTCTGCCTCTGAGGTTATGACTCCTACACTCCTACCCTCACCCCAGAGTAGGAGGCAGGCCAGATACTGGCAGAAATTACATGATGCCCCTCAGCCCTGGGGTACTACTGTCTCCACACCTGTCTGCCCCCCCCCCCCAGGCCACCACCAGGGCAAGGGACCAGACACCTCCTGTCAGCATCTCCTCCACTGCTCACCCACCACGATATCAGCAGTTTAGGAGAAGCAGGTTGTCATGTGGAAAAGAAGACTGAAAGGGATAAAGTGAAAAGGCTCATCATGCGACCCCTTTCCTGGTGTTATTTTTCCCTAAATTGGACCAAGTGAGCACTGAGGCTGAGCCACCAAGCCCTTGGCCCAGCCCCAGGCTTAGTATCTGACTGGTGTGGCCACTGGTTTTTTTCAGCATTTTCTCCTTTGATTGTAGAGTGATCATCTTTGCCTTCTTTCCCCTCATTCTTGAAACCGTTAGCCAGCCAAGACAGGTTTTCTATAACTTTTAATTTTGGAAGAAATGATCTTGCCCACATTTACTTAACGAGGGGGACAGCCCCACAACGTTCCAGCCTGCAAAGAACCACAGGTTCCCAGCTCCGCAGTTTCCAATTTTGGCCTTGTGGGTGGCTGAACAAGCTGCATAGCTGGGGGCTAATTACTAAATCTAGGCGCTCTGGGCCTAGATTCGGGCCGCTAACCTCAAGCTCAGTAGTTACAAACTACCACTTCCACGGGAGAAAAATGAGACTATTCCCGTAAAGATTTACAGCCTCGAAAGCCCTATGAGTCACAACCGACTCCACAGCACACAACCACCACCAATCACTAATTCGTGCATACATGTTCCCGAATTGGGGGACCATAGTTATCTATTCCTGAGCTGTGAGGGTTCCAGTGATAAAAAATTAACCTGGACTGAAGTTCCTAACGTGTCTTTCTCATGAGAGACGGAGGCTGAGGTGTATTGGCGAGTGCCCTGAGAAAGTTGTTGCTCCAAAAAAGGGCCACGGGTGTAGCTGAAAGGCTTGGGGTGCGGAGGTTGGTAGGTAGTTCTCCGCCCCCACCTGTAGGGTGTCCAGAGCACCCGGTGAGCCTCAGGGTGTAGGTTTCCCCCGCTTGGAAAACGCAAAGATACTACGATTCCCTCCCTCCCAACATTGGGGATCAAGTCGAGGTTCCGACTTCAAGTATAGACTCCAAAGAATTGTAACGGCCCTTTCCCCCCAACATAGCTGGATGCACTTGGTTTCCCGAACAAATGAAAATCTTTTTAGTAGAGTAATCTCTTGCTGGACAACCTCTCGCCGTTCTCCGCAGTACCCATGAGGATGCCGCGGCGCCAGCCTTTGCTGCATGGGGCCGCCGACACCTACCCTACGGTGCCCTTTTTTTTTTTGGCAGAAAAACCGGAGGGCACCTTCACAACCTGGTTTCTTCTCCTACCCGCCCCTCCCGCCGCCGCAGGGAACCGTAGCTGCAGCGGACAGTCCACAACATTTCTTTCGAGACCAGCGTCCGGCCTCTCACTTCCGGCTGCGTCCCCACCCCCACAGGAAACCCTCGGGGTAGGGCGGGGTCTGTTCTCGCGACGTGGTAGGGGGTGCGTCCGCCGGCGCGCGGGCGGCGACGCAAAGTGGTTCCGGCCAATGGGGAGCAGCGTCGGCTGCTCGCTCCGCCCTCGGCCCCGCTCCCTCGTCGCCGTACCGGGGGCCGGGGCGGCAGGATGGCGGCAGCGGCGGCGGGTGCCGGGGGTCCCGGCGCTGCAGGCCCGAGCGGCGGCGGCGGGGCGCGCGAAGGCGCGCGCGTAGCGGCGCTGTGCCTGCTGTGGTACGCGCTAAGTGCGGGCGGCAACGTGGTCAACAAGGTGATCCTGAGCGGCTTCCCGTTCCCGGTGACTGTGTCGCTGTGCCACATCCTGGCTCTGTGCGCGGGGCTGCCGCCGCTGCTGCGTGCCTGGCGCGTGCCCCCCGCGCCACCCGTGTCGCCGTCCATACCCGGCCCGCACACGCCTCCCGGCCCGCTGCTGCCGCCGCGCTTCTACCCGCGCTACGTGTTGCCACTTGCCTTCGGCAAGTACTTCGCGTCCGTGTCGGCTCACGTCAGCATCTGGAAGGTGCCCGTGTCTTACGCGCACACCGGTGGGTGCGGGCCCAGGGGCGCGTGAGGCTCTTGTCACGGGGGTACGGGGGGGCGGAGAGAAAGGAGCTGTGCGAACCTGGGTGAGGTGGGGTGGGAGGCAGCCTTGAAAGAGAAAGGCTGAAGAGTTTTTGGGGCGTCCGACCTGTCAATCTTGTCCACCCCCACTCTATTGTGGAGGTGGGGACAGGCTCCCCGGGCGGGCCCCTGAGCACCTCTTGTCTCTCTTTTCAGTCAAAGCCACCATGCCTATCTGGGTGGTCCTCTTATCCCGAATCATTATGAAGGAGAAGCAGAGCACCAAGGTAGGAGGTCCAGGGCTGCTGGTGGACCCAGGGCTGCCTGCTGAGCCCCACTGGGTGACGTGGTCCAGGCCACCAGGCTGCCTGTTGCATGTCAAATACGGAAGTCAGTGCTGGGGCCTCCCTTTTTATTGCTTATAAGCTCTGGAATCCTTTTCTGCAGTGGTATTGGAGCAGGGTGTCCCTGAGCTGCCTGTGCTGTCTCTGGGGATTGCAGGGAGGTGGCATGTAGCTTCTAGGTGATGTTGTGGTTGTATCTTGGCAGGCCAGTGCTCTCCAGCTTCCTTGCAAGATAGTGGGGGCAGGGATCAGAAAAAAGGTGCTAATCAAAAGAGTCTGGTTGGACGTTAAGAATTTTGAGTTGTTCTAGGGATGGAAATGCAAACGCCATCCAGCTGCCTCAGGAAAGCGCGCTTGGCACAGCTCAGAGTCTGTTCAAGATGCCAAGCCCAGGTGCCTCCTACTTGGGACAGAAGGGAAAAGCCTGCTTTCCCAGGGCCTTAGGTGGCAATGGGGTTCTTGCTGCCCCAGCTGGAACTTGTTTCCATAGTGGTCACAGCCCTCTTCTCCCGGTGGTGGGTTTCTGTCTGCTGTTTGTGTAATTCAGAGTGGTAGCTGTGCCTGGATTGGATTGTAGAAATCAGGCCATCTCTAGGGGGGTTTTCTTTTTATTTTAGCCTTGATCTTGATACAGGCAGAGTAGGGTGTGCTCTGCTACCTGCCCCTGGGTGACGTCAGGTGGATGACTCGCCAGGGTCGGAGTTACCCAGGAGGTGTGCCGCTGCATCACTCGATAGCACATTAAGTTTATCAGGTTTCCTGGTTGCACGTTGCATGGGACATTGTACCCAGCCTGGGCATAACGGGGGCTGGAAACCTTCACAGCTGGCAAGGGCCCTAATAATAAACGGCTTTGGCTTTTGGCTCCTCTCCCCCTAGACCGAAAAGACAGGGAATCAGATACAGGAAAAATCACAAGTCTGTGGGCTGGCACTGCCCAGTGGAGCAGGATCAGGCCTTGGTGGGGACGATGCTCCAGGCTTGAAAGTTTCTTCCTACAAATTGAAAGTGGAGCCCACTTGCCTAGAAGTGGCAGACTCAGGAACCAGACTGTGGCCTCACCTGGTTCGTTCCGCCAACAGCCACAATGCATATTGGGTGCCAGTATCAGGATAGAGCAAATGGAGTACGAGTGAAAACTCAGGATTGAAAGGGCAGTTAGGATGGGGGCAGCAGCAGAGGGCCCACCATCTATCTATACAATGACTCCAGGCCCGTAGGCATCCTGCACAGCCACTAACCCTGTCACTGAAGGCTTGGCTGTCACTAGGATGCTGGACAGGCCCTCAGCAGAACTTCTACACTAAGGAAAAAAGGCCTAGTGACCAATTTCCAAGAATTGGTCTATGAAACCCCTGTGGATGAGAATGATTATATCCCCTGTCAGTCACGGGTCCAATGAGACTGTGTTTCCTTCTGTTGTGTGTAGGGCTTGCCATGAGTTGTGGTCAGCTCAGCAGCAGCAGCAGTAGCGATGCTATTAAACGTGGCACAGGTGACAGTAGGAGCCTGTAACTACGGGGCCCTCAGCAGGGGTGCAGCATGGGTGTTCTGCTTATAGTGTTGAGGGAACAGACCTGGAGTGTGAGGGGAAAAGAGGAGCAGGTGGGAAGGGCCTGGGAGTGGGTGGTGACCCAGCCAGAAGTGATGTGTTTAAAGGGCCCAAATTAAAAGGAAATGAGGACTTCATCAGCATCTGGGCCAATAGGGGAGCTCCTGGGTGGTGCAAACGTCCAGCATGCGCGGCTGCTCACTAAAAGTTTTGAAAATGCTAGCTCACTCAGAGGTGCCTTGGAAGAAAGACTTGGTGAGCTACTTCTCAAAAAGCAGCCATTGAAAGCCTTGCGGGCACAGGTCTGCTCTGCCACACATGGGGTTACGAGAGTCAGCTTGGTGACAGTTAGTGGTGCAGTGGGAGTCTCTGGGACACTCGGGGTTCTGAGTTGGTGTGTGGAGGAGGGGGTAGGGCTGCCTACAGCCAAGCAGCCCTGCCTCAGGTACTCTGTAGCCACCTGTACCATTTCTCCCCAACACCCTTATCTCAGTTCCCCAAAGAGGGATGTGGTGTCCTCTGGGCTGTCTTTCGGGTCAAGGAGGAGCCAGCCGTCAGCCCCACCTTCTTCCCCAGGTGTACCTGTCCCTCATCCCCATCATTAGTGGTGTCCTGCTGGCCACTGTCACCGAACTGTCTTTTGACATGTGGGGACTCCTCAGCGCCCTGGCGGCCACCCTGTGCTTCTCGCTGCAGAATATCTTCTCCAAAAAGGTACTGAGTCACCGTCGGGGTGTGCTCGGTAGGTCGGAACATGTGGGTGGCAGCTGAGTGAATGTGAGGACGGGACCAACTAGAGATTTCTTAGTGTTGGCGTGGGACAATCCTCATTGCCTGTCTACTGGTTTTCTGTTGGTCAATTTATTTTTTAAATAGTGTGTTTATGTCTTTCTATTGTAAAATTGGCATTGCTCAATGTGAAACAAAACATGAAAACTCTAAAAACGTCTTCTGTGGCAGGCCCTGTGCAGGGGGGTGGAGAGAGGGCTGAACATGAAGAATCAGATGAAACCTGCCCCCTGCCCAGAGGGTTTCCCCTGTATTGAGTGCAGTCTCAATACTGTCTCGCATGGACATGACTGGGTTTTTTTTTTCCCTCTACACGTTAGAGTTGCACTGCTCTAGATGTGTACCCACTTCTCATGTACTGACATGGTGACGTTATATGAAAATGTACGATGACCACATCAGGTTGTAGAAAATGCAAGGGTGACATCGTGGCATAACTGCTGAGTCACTGAGGATCCTGACCTTGCCCATCACAGCCAGCGTTTACACCTGGGCATTTGTACGTCATTAGTGTGAAAAGTATCTACTGTGATCATACATGCAAAATGTCAGCTAACAAAATAGTCACTTGAGTGAGGAGTCATGTTTATTTTAAAATCTTGGTTCACCTGCTATTACAGCATAAGCATTTCCCCCATCATTAAAAATTATTGCTCTTAATTGCTACAGTAATTACACACTTTCCAGGTACCACAATAAATGCATCCAGTGCCTTACTGGAAATACAGGTTGTTTCCAACCATCCCTTATAAATAGCAGAGTCATGAACACATTGGTGCATAACGTTTTCCTACTTCTCTGCTTATTTCCTTATGATAGGTTTCCCATTCTTGGGCCAAAAATTGTGAGTGTTTTATGGCTCTTGATATATTTTGCCTAGTTTTAGTGCAAAAAGGTTATACCAATTTATCCTTAAACCAGCAATATATGAGTGCCTCATTCACAGCAGCTTCTCCAACATCAAGTATTACTGGTTTTTCATGTTTGTTTGTCTTGATCCTTCATGAAACAGCACTGATTTTGGGCACATGCTACGTATCTTATAAGTTCACTTATCGGTTGTCAAGTTGGACATCAGGGTTAATGTGCCTTTGCTGTATTTGAGGTCTGGGATCCCTTGTCCGTGTATAGTTTTGATCGGCCTTTCAGGAAACTTTCTGCTGTCAGGTATTGAGAGATTCCCGGATCCACCACCTCCGGCTGCTAAACATCCTGGGCTGCCACGCCATCTTCTTCATGATTCCCACATGGGTGCTGGTGGACCTCTCGGCGTTCCTCGTCAGCAGTGACCTGGTGAGTTGGCCAGCTCCGGGCACACACCCTTCACCCGACTGGTTCCAGAGTCGAGACTTTGTTGGGGCATCACATCTCTGTGTTGACTTGGAAATTTTTGACATCTGACCCCAGCCCTCTTAACATTTGGCTCTTTGTTGTAACTGATGTTCCTCCTTGGAGGAAGGTGGCCTCCTTGGTGTTTCCTTGAGTCCAGCTGTTGTCTCTGTACTGGCAGCATCAGGAAAGGGAAGCCCGTAGGAAGCTCTTTCTTATCCTGACAGATCTTGTTCCGATCTCACTCTGACTTTTCAAAACTGCTTACGATACTCGATTGCTGTGTTGGTGCTGTCTCTGCCTGTATGGCCATTTACTCTGGAGAGATCTGGGGCTCCCTGAGCACTCAAATGAGTTTTCCCACCCCCTGCAGGGACTGCACTAGGAACTCCTAGGGGGACGATGGTAAGAGAGGGCACAAGTGATTCTTCTAGACTGTTTCCTGGCCTAAGAGACGGTTACATGTAAGTCCCTGAGAAACATGAGTGGTTTGTGCTTGAGTTCCGGCCGAAAGGTTGGTAGTTTGAACTCACTCAGCAGTGGTCTGCTGATCTATGTCCATAAGCTGAAAACCCAGAGGGACCTTGAAAGACAGGCCTGGTGATGTGCTTTCAAAAGGCCACAGCTTGGAAAACCCTCTCAAGCAGTTTTACTCTGCACTCATGGGGTTGCAGTGAGCCAGAACCAGCTCACAAAGGTAATCTTGGTGGAAGCAGGTGGTTGTTGCTAAGTGTCGTCGAGTCGGAAGCTGATTGCCAGGCCTTTATTCCACAGTGCTGCTGAGCAGGTTGTTGTTAGATGCAATCAAGTCGGTACCGACCTATAGCGACTGTATGTACAGCAGAGCAAAACACTGCCCGATCCTGGGCCAACCTCACTACTGTTGCCACGCTTGAACCCATTGATGCTGCCACCAGGCCAGTCCATCTCGCTGGGGGTTTTCCTCTTTTTCTCTGACCCTCCACCTTACCAATCATGATATCCTTCTCCAGTGACTGGTCTCTCCTGACAATATGTCTAAAGTATGAGAGATGAAGCCTGGCCATCCGGGCCTCCTAGGTTAGTAGTCGAGCATAAACTGTCCGCGCCAGCCAGTGACCTTTCCATAAAATTACAGCCGTTGTCAGTCTCAGGGAGCATGGTTCTACTCTGACACACCTGGGGTTGCTAGGAATTGGAATTGGTTAGGGCTTGGTAAAGGGTTTGGTTTGGGTTGGTAATGTATTCTTGATGAATTTTTGGTAAGTATGGTCTGATTTAATCCTTCACTGTACATTAACCCATTGAAGTCTTGAATATGATTTCTATTTTGCTTAAGAGAAAATGGGCTCAATTTTCTAGTTATCTTTCCACGTGGAATAACTAATTTTTCTGTAAAGAACTTTGGGGATGGTATGTTACCCCTAAAATATGGTACAAGGAAGGCAGTTGACCCATTTCCTCTTATTACTTTCAGAGTTAGGAGTTGGGTCTTACTTCAAATGTTAGCCAGTGAGTTGAGGTTTGTTTCCTCATTGTGTTCTATGATTCTTCTCCCCCAGCCCCCCCATACATACCATCATGCATCATGAAGGCGTGTGCTTACCAGTTGCATAGGTTACTCTTTGATCTTTGATCTTCAAATTGCCTATGTCGGCTACGTAGCCCTTTACATTGGCTTCCAGCCCTTTGGGCACCGTGACTCTGTGTTTGGTGGCTGTGGGTAGCACAGGAGGGCGATCCCTCCTCTGCACTACCCGTCCCAAACTGCAGGCAGCCACCCCTGTGGGGGTCCTGCTTGTCTCAGTGGGGAGTCTCGTGGATTGTTTTTTTAGGCACCATCTGGGTACTGTGTGTGCCAGTGGCTTGAGTTGCTACTGCTTTTCTGCCTTCTCAGGGAGACGCTAGGAAGCACGGAGTTTGGCAGTGAGTTCAGAGTTCATACTGATGATACAGGTAGACCTTGCAGGATGGCGCTTCACAGATAGTGTGTGTTTGACACATTGAAGGTTTGTGGCAACCTCATCTCAAGCAAGTGCCATTTTCCCCCAACATGTGCTCACTGTGTGTCTCTGTGTCAGGTATGGGTCATTCTCAGCTTTTCCTGATGCTGTTGCACGCAGTTCATAGACTGCAGTACAGTGTGAACATAACCCCTCTCTGCAATGGGAGACCAGAAGTGATGGGTGACTTGCTTTATTGCAGTACTGTGTTCCTGCGGTGCTCTAGGACTGAACCTCAGTACCTGCGACGCCTACCCAGTTCAGTCGACATTCCAGGATTCGTAGTGCTTGAATTTGTGTGTACACCTCTTTGCTCTTGTGCTTGGCTCCTTTCCTCTCCACATCACGTATTTGCTCATGCTTGCCTCCTTATTCCTGTGTGTTACTGTATTACTTACCTTGATATCCCCCCACCCACACTCTGACGCACACTCAGAGTTGTACACTCTCGACCCACCAGCTTGAGAGAGAGGCTCTCCACCCGGGGTGGCTGCAGCCAGAGGAAGGGCAGGAAGGCTGTTACGATTTGCTGTGGCGCCTTGTGGCTTGGCCCTGAGAACGTGCTCCATGAAAAGTGGGCAGTCAGAGCACTACGTTTTCCTTCTCAGGGTGGCTTGTTTGCTCCAGTGTTCTCAGTTCTTAGGAGTTACTCTCACACACACACGCACACATACACACACGCCAGTATGCCAAATCTTTCTCTTTCTAAAGCCAACCTACATAACATTAGCATCTAACCCCAAAGAAGTCTGCCACTGTTCCCTGTTGCCTTCGCTCTGTCCCCCCACAGATATGTGCTCACTTTCTGAGCACACCTGCCTATATGTTCATCCTCCGCTTCTTACAGAAAAAGTAACCTTCTCTAGGAGGCAGCTTCATGGAAAAGCCCCCTAGCAGATCAGAGTGCCTTGCTCTTCTTACACTGTCTTGCTCTGAACTCAGACTTGTAACTCCTGAACTGTGAGGACATAAATGTCTGTTAAGTTACCTGCCTGTGGTATTTAAACTGAGTAAGACTTAAGACAGGACTTACTTCAAAGTGGTGGTGGAAGTGGGCTTCCATAGGCACCTCAGACTCGGAGGGCGGAGAACTGTAGTAGAGAACAACCCATTGTCATCAAGGCTGTTCCAGCTCAGTGCCCAGGGAGGCTGGAGCAGAACTGTACATCGGGCTTACAAGGCTGTCATCGTCACAGATAATACCAAATGGTCTAACATTTCTGTAATTGCGCCTTAAAGGAGGAGAGAAAGAATGCTGCACTTTTTAAAAATGGTTTTGCGGAAATAAGGTGCGAAAACGTCCCAAATTTAGCAAACAACATATAAAGGGGCTTAGGTGGAAAAATTAGATTAAAAGATAATGAAGTTTTTCCGTGAACTTTTTGAAGCCTCCTTATCTACAGATTCAAGAAGCTCAGTGAACTCCCAACAAAATAAACCTACATCCAAACATTTCAAAGCAAACTGCTGAAAATGAAAGGCTAAAAAGATTTTGTAAGCAGACAGAGAAAAGCGATGTGGGCGCTGCTGGGAGAACAGAGATTTGAATGAATGCAGATTTCTCATCGGAAACCATGAAAACCATAAAGAAGTAGAACATCATCTTTATGGTACTGAAACTAAAAACCTATCAACCCAGAACTATGCACACAACAAATCCAGAACCAGTAGATTCTCCTAAGCCGATAGGGCTTCAGTCTGCTGAATCTGGGAGCTGTAGAGCTGTAAACTCAGCGGAGACCGGACCAGCACCATCAGCCACAGAACTCTGTGACTTTGCTCCCCACACTCAGCCTCCAAAGAGCCCAGCTGGTCCCTGGACTGGACAAGAAGCCAGACCAAGCACGCAGGTCGTTGACCAGTCTCAAGTCTGCCTGACACTTACCCATGCTGCTGTCCCTGCACTCCCATCAGGCCTGCAGCCATCCGAGGTCATCCTGCTGGACTTGGCAGCTCTGCCTATCACAGCCTCCTGACCCTCCCACCCACCAGCCCAGGATGTGTGCTGAAGGAGGTGGTGGGCACATGGGAAGAGGACTGCGCAACTCTCTGGAAGCCAGCCCCAAACAGAATAGATATCCACAAACCTCAGGATTCCCCAGCTGCCTGGGCTCTTTGGGGAACTATGGTCCAGATGTTCCTAGTGGTTTCCTGATGTGTTAGAGCCTCTTAATCAGGGTGACCTCATACCATCAGGGGCCAGAGCGTGACTCAGTTAGCTGATAACATCCCCCCTTTGATGTTTAGCTTGAAATTGGGCAGAGCATTTTCACAGCAAGGATTGGCTCAGCTGAGCAGGGATCAGTCTGCTCCTGTTGCATAAACGATCTCGTAGTTTCTTGTTGTTATGTGCCGTGGAGTCGGTTCTGACTCAACGACCTTGTACAGGGTTTCCGAGGCTGTAAATCTTTACGGGAGCAGAAAGCCTCATCTTTCTCCCGTGGAGCGGCTGGTAGTTTCGAACTGCTGACCCTGAGGTTCGCTGCCCGACTCGTAACCGAGCTCCTGAGTGTCTTAGTGCTGCTGTAATGGAAATACCACAAATGGCTGTGCCTTAGGCTGCGTTCTCTACAGAAGCAAATCCCTGAAGTTTATATGTCGTTCCGTGCTGTCAAGTCGCTTCTCATTCATAGTGACCCTGTATAGGGTTCCCAAGGAGCAACTGGTGAGTTTGAACCACCAACATGGCACTTCAGACCAAGCTTACCCTACAGCATGATACACCAGGACCCTTTAGATCATTGTTGTTGGGTGCCATTGAGTCAGTACTGACTCATAGCGACATTATGCACAACAAAATGAAACACTGCCCGGTCCTGCGCCATCATTGCTATGCTTTAGCCCATTGCTGCTGCCACTGTGCCAATCCATCTTCTTGGGGCCTTCCTCTTTTTTGCTGACTCTCCAATTTACCAAACATGGTGTCCTTCTCCCAGAATTGGTCCCTCCTGATATCCTGATAATATGTCTGAAGTATAAGAGATGAAGTCTGGCCATCCTGGCTTCTAAGGAGCATTCTGGCTGTACTTCTTCTAACACAGATTTGTTGGGTAGCTTTAATGAATAGAAATTTATTTTCCTGTAGTTCAAGAGGCTGGATGTCCAAATTCAGGGCAGTGGCTCTTGGGGAAGGTTCTCTTCCAGTGGGCTTTGTGGGAGGGTCTGCATCTCAGCATCTCTTAACTTCAAGGCATTCCTTGGCAGGCTCCACCTGGCATCTGTCTTCCCTCATTTATGTTTTCCTTGCTTCTGTATGTCTCTTCATAATCGCAAAAATATGAAGTGCCAACCATTCCTCCCACAGTGCTCTCTACGCAACCAGGTTTAGTAATTGATTACAGTGCCCGCCCGGAACTCAGACACCAGACTCACAGAGGGTTTATTAGGGAAATTAACAGGTTACGGTGTAGGATCAGAGATTATTCCGGGCACAGTTGTTCCAGTCAGGTGCTGATAAATGCCTAAGGAGTCACCACCATAAGCCTCAGTCTGAGGGCACTGGGCTCTGGCTTCCATGGGTCAGCAAACCAAGCTCCCCCACTTAAATACCTAGAGGCACCATGCTCTCTATAAGCAGGCCTCCTGCCCAGTCACTCAGCTTGACTTGCTCTGGGAGCTGGGAAGGCCACGGCTCTGTTCTGTGCTCTCGTTCTTGGTTCTTCGGCTGTTGCTCCCCTGCCCCTCCTCTGGGGTCACAGTTTTCTGTCCTGGGTCAAGGAGGTTCAATGCACAGGAACAGTCCAAAGGACTGGCTCCTCTTTTTCGATGGTTGTGAGATCCCCCGCATTCCTGCTTCTGAGATGGCTCATTTTATACCCACACTAGAATTTCAAGTTTTAACAGTTACAGTGAACTCTGTTACCTTCCACAGCTGAATCATGCCATCCTTCCTCAGACCCAGCAGGGCAGAAACGTTATTTGATTGGAGTCACAGACAATGGCTAGAAGACATATTAGATAATTTCCTATACCACCGTGTTCCCAAAGTGATTATGCTGGACTGCAAAGTTGGTTTGAACCACAGGATTGACAGTTTAAGCTCATTCTCGGAAACCCTCTGCAGCGTCACTTTGGGTTGGAACTGACTTACGGCACTTAACACCAACAGTGCTTTGGACTTAGGAACATTACAAAGAAATCCTTAGTCTCAAATAGGAAGGATCACATCCACAGGTATAGGGGTTGGGATTCCAATACACATTCTGGGGACAAAATTCAGTCAATAACAGATGAGACAGCTGAGACCCAGAGTGGTCAAGCAGCCTGCCAGAGGACTTCCAGGCCAGGGCACGTTCATGTCCTGGATTCTTCACATACTCAGGAGCCCCTGCTAGACCCCTCCCCTTCCTGTGGAATGCAGACTATCCACTCGGCTAGCCCTTCCAGTCTAGCTCAAAGGTCCTGTCTGTTTATCTTGGGGAATGAGAGGAGACACTGGTCACGTCTTACTCCGGGCCCCTGCCCAGTGATAAGAGATTATGCTACTGTGAGGTATCAAAAGGTCAGAGGTGGTGCCGACAGTTAAGTGCTTGGCTGCTAACTGAAATGTTGGAAGTTCGAGTCTACCCAGAGGCACACTGTCAAGTACAGTGCTGCTTTGACACACGGGGTTGCTGTGAGTTGGGTGATTCCATGGCACCTGGTTTATCATAGCCCACAAGGGCGTGTGCTACCTTCCAACCTAGGGACCGGATAAGCGATGTAGTTCCTACTCCATGTCCCCCAGCCTGCTCGTAGGCTCCAGGGTGGCTGTGGCGCGGCCTCCATCCCCCATACACTACCTTATTGTCCACCTGCAGACCTACATCTCCCAGTGGCCCTGGACACTCCTGCTCCTGGCCATCAGCGGCTTCTGCAACTTTGCCCAGAATGTTATTGCCTTCAGCATCCTCAACCTCATCAGTCCCCTGAGCTACTCGGTTGCCAACGCCACCAAGAGGATCATGGTCATCACCGTGTCACTCATCATGCTACGCAACCCCGTCACCAGCACCAACGTCCTGGGCATGATGACAGCCATCCTGGGGGTCTTCCTCTACAATAAGGTGAGCCAGGCTGGGGGCAGGGGGCTCTGCTGCTGACGCCCTCCCCGCCAGGCATGCAGCACTGTGAGGTCCGGGTTTGCAAGGATTTGCCTCCTCCCGTCAAAGGCTCTGTTTCCACTGGTGTAAGCTGCAGAGAGAGGAGCCTGCGTGTGCGTATGGTTTGGGGTTGGCTGCTAATCCAGAAGTTGGCAGTTCAAATGCACCCAGGCACTCTGAGACCTGATGAACTGCCTCTGTGAAGAGGAAGATCACTAAAGCCTTGGGGACTAGTTCTACTCTGTACCACAGGGCCAGGTAAGATCCCAGGGAGCGAGAACCAAACTTCTGTCTTTCATACGCTACTACAGAAAGGTTGGTGCTTCCAATCGCGTAGCAACACCAAGCAAGGAAGGCTTGATGGTTGGCTTTCATGAGACGGCCTGTGGATGGAGTTCTCTGTAACGCACGGGGCAGGCACCGTGAGTCGGAGGGCTGACACGTCGACAGAGGGTTTGGGTTGCTTGGTGGGTTTTGGTTTTTAATGTGCGTGGTGATAGCTACTAGGACTTGATTTTGGGTCCTTGTAGCCTCTACAGGTTCAGTAACCACCCGTCCTTCAGCCACACCAAGCCCTGCTCTGGGTAACTTTGGTTGAAATCGGAGCTCCTCTCTCCTCTACGCCTACCCTGCAGACAAGGCCACTGCCAAATGCTCGGTGACATTGATGACCACTGTCCATGTGTGTCACCACCATCACTTTTTCCAGACTCCAGCACCTTTCACATAAAGTCACGGTCCCTAACCCAAAACTCCCGCCCGCCCCTGGGTTGTGTATATTGTCTAACTAACTCTGTTTAAGTGAGTTCATATAGTAGTTGTCCTCTGGTGACTTCCTGATGATACTGCTCGCTCTGCTTGCTGTTGTCAAGGCCCCACCGTGGTGTGGCACAGCTGGGTAACACCTGGTGTGTCCACCCGTCACCTGTTGGCAGTCACTTACGTTGCTTCCCCTATTTGAGAAGCACTGCAGAGAACACGGAGGCACAGGTTTCTGTCCGCGGTCCTGCGTCTGCGTTTGTGGGGCATCCTATCAGGCGTGGGGTAGCTCAGTCCTGCGGCAGCTGTGTGTTCTCCATGGCTACCTCCCCACCAGCAATGGATGAGGGTCCAGTCTCTCCACCACCACACCCAACACCTGTTGTGTGTGTGTTAAATCATTTCCATTTTTGGCGTGAAGGGGTATCTCCTTGAGGTTTGAGTTTTGTCCCCTCAAAATAAAGTTCTCACATATTTATTGGCCAAGCTTTTAATGCAGCAGCATAACAACAAACGAAGAAACCAGACATTTTGCAATACATGTTCAGTTGATCAGATCTTGGCAAAATTGAATTTTCATCTGGTCAAAAGCTAAAACCGAGGTGCATTATGTGTCCCATCATGAGTACAACTCCTGTAGAGCAGTGTCTGGTTCTTTCTAGAATCTTCTCTCGGAGTTGTACCTGATGTGATTAGCAGCTTCATCCGACTCCTGTAGAGCAGTGTCTGGTTCTTTCCAGAATCTTCTCTTGGAGTCATACCTGATGTGATTAGCAGCTTCGTCCGACTCCTGTAGAGC